GCTGCTGTTAGTAATGCCCCACTGTCAGGCCCAAGTGGCCACTTAGAACTGTTGAGCCCTGATCCACATACCTGGGCTGTGTTTTTGAGTATTAAATCACACAAGAGCACGTTGCCTAGACTTAGAATTAGAGAATAGTAGAAAGCAGTTTTCAGAGATAAGGGATGAAAGAAAGAGAAAACGTTTGGGGGAGCAGTGGATATTAGAATGAGACTTGCGTCTGAGTCATCCTACAAATGGTGTAGCTTATGCCCAAGATAATTTTAGAGAGAACAATCATCTCAGGCATGTCAGATTTATGCATTTAAGCCCTGAGACATTCTGTCTTTTTCTTAAAAGTTCTGTCTGAACTCTAGAGCCAGGGAAAATTTATTTTAATAACTTCCTTTTCACTCTGAAACATCACTGGCCAGTGTGAAGTTTGCTGAGGTGTTCACTGGTATTCACCAAGGTTTGGACCAGCTCTCTCAGCATGGTTCCTGGGCAGCAGAGGGAAGCAAGTTGCAGCACCTTTTATAGTCCTTTGGGCAATTTATTCTTCTGAAAATTGCATGTTTTTATATATGCAGTGGGAATGAGCAAAGGGTTGTGAAGGGAGAGCAAATTATACCTTAGTGATAGAAAGTCAGGAGTTGATGTGAGGTGGCTGTAGTGCCTGGCTTCTACTGAGCCCTCAATTTACATTTGATCCAGAGAATTTAGATATAGAAATAATTTGTAGTCTGTTTGAGGTTATCATCCATTAACATCTCATCTACTGCCTTTGTTTTTTTTTTTTTTTTTGGTATCAGGGATTGAACTCAGGTCCTTGCGCTTGCAAGCCAGGCCACCTAACCACTGAGCTAAATCCCCGGCCCTACTGCCTTTGGTTATAGGTTTCCCTATTCCTTTTTGACATGAAGGTAAACCACTTTAATTCATTTCTTCCTTTTGTTGTATGGCAGCCTCTTTTTAGTTTGTTGATTCTTAAAGCATTGTCATAAATAAAACTCATTATGTTCTACTGAGTTTTATTCATTAACCCTCCTTTTCCTGCACTTGGAATCCAAATGATAGGAAATAATATGAAAAATCTTTCTATGTATAAAGTCAAAGCCCCGATTAAAAATCAAATTGATATGGATAAATAGGTATGATGGGGTGAAATAGAGAAATCTTTTTGTACTTTTCTTGTTATAATCTTGAGAATTAAAAAGCCATTGAAACAGGACTAATCTTCTTACTTTGTGTTACTTTGTCACTTAGTGCTACCCCCCCAACACACACTAAGAACACTGCAACATAGACCCAGGCGTGGTGGAGCACGTCTGTAATCCCAGCACTTGGGAGGCTGAGGCAGGAGGATCGCTGTGAGTTCGAGACCAGCCTGTGCTACATAGTGAGTCCCAGGTCAGTCTCAACTACATAGT